TGATATGTAAAATTCAAAATTATCATATCGATGTTGGTTTTTACTACTATAGTCTCATTGTAATCCAAATATTAAATGATATTAACATTAAATGATATTAAGGCAAAGCTATTTTTTGGTTCAAATAAACAAATTAAATAAATAAATAATAAAAAGAGTATATATTTAGTTTTTACTCTCTCAAAGTCAAAGCATATATAAGTGCAGGTCTTTTTAATGTTTCTGTCGAAAGAATAAACACAAAAATCAATTTTTATAAATTTAGTATCGCGATTTGATTAGTATATATATCATATTTTGGTGAAATGATGCCATTACATAGCGCGATCGAACTATTAAGCTAATACAATGCCATAAGCATTAAAAAATTCTGGGCTTAGTTAGTGACGTAGACAAAATTTTTTAAAATTCATTAATGTTAGGGTTAGCGTTTCGTATAAAGTTAAAAGCTAAGTGGTATATAGTAAAATCGCACAAGGAAAACTTTTTGTTAGTGTACTAAAGGTGGTTTACTATGCAGTTTTTGAGAAAGAAGCGATTTTTGGCAAAACGAACGTTTGTTTTGATCGTGCTACGTTACACCTGATTCTCGACATCTGATTTGTAGATCATGCATAATCATGCATAACTAAGCCCAGAATTTTTGAATGCATAACATAAAGTTGATAACATAAGATTGATTTATAATTTCACAAAAAATTTTATCAAACAAAAAATAAACCCCCTACAATGAAAATAAAGTTAATTTTGTTACTTTCTTCACGATAAAGGTCTCAAACTCATCAATGACAAATTCGACAAGTTTGGTCGAAATGTTCTTTTTACGAATCAAAACCTCCTTTTCATAATTATTTTGCGTGAAGGAATCCAAAATCCTCTTTTCATAATTATTTTGCTTGCAGGATCCTCTCCTCCCATTTAATATTAAATCAGCGTTTCCAAAATTCATCCAGGCTTCACTACAGTTATAAACTGCTCGTGAGAGGTTTTTCACGCGGCTAAGTATATGAGTATTATTAGAACCCTTTTCATCTCCATAACACTATAAGTTTATATTGATAAGAAAATAATTAAATAATATGTATACAATTTATAAAATCAATAAATGAAGTAATAGCAACTTATAATTAAACAGTTTTTTGGTAGAGT